CTCATTCTTCTCAAGCCAGCAGGTGTATTTGTGGAAGGGACAAACACGTCTGCAGGCAATTTCCGCGTCTCTGTGCAGGGTTGTGTGACCAAGTGCTAGCCAAGGACATCAACGTTTGTAGATGACCAGTGAAAATCCTGGACGCCCTCAATGGGATTGATTGCTACAGTAGCTGCAGCAGCAGACGCCAACATACCCACAATCACAAAGATGGCACGAGATGGGCAATGGTTCCTTTTGCTTTACATCAGTTTGCCCAGATTCAATGGCAACTCATCTGGAGAACTAAATATAATAATGTATGTCAAAGTACATGGCACCCATGAGTCAGGGACAATGCTTCCTCTATGCTTAACTGCAGCACATGCACACGCCCTGCCGTCAAGTCCATCCCAACTCTTCTAGAGTTTCCAAGACTATAACCCTTTACTGGAGCGATAGCCTCATATTTCAACCTCAGAGAGGCTGGCAGATTTGAACTGCCAACCTTGTGGTTAGCAGACCAATGCTTCATGTGCAGCAGCACCACCACCACCGCTGTTCTTACCTGTGGGGAATTTTACTTTGCCTCGCGATAGCCGCTGCCAGCACTAAAGAACACAGTCCTCATTAAAGCAGCTGAACACTCGATTAGGCTGGAAATCTATTTTACCTATAAAGTTGAAACTACATGTAGCAATGCCATTATTATTACTGTTTGCTCCACCTCTGTCATGTGAGGTTTGAAAAGTCTTCCTACTTCTCTCTCGTTCCATGTAGGTGGGTGACCGGAGTTGGTTCTGACTCATAGCGACCGTGTGTACAGCAGAATGAAATACTACCCGGTCCCGTGCCGGCCTCACAATTACTCTCGTTTGAGCCCGGTGGTGCTGCCAGTGTTAATCCATCTTGGCACAGAGCTCCCTCTTTTTTGCTGCCCTGGTACTTCACCGAGCATGATGTCCTCCTTCCGGAACTGGTCTCTCCAGACAACACGTCTAAAGTATGTGAGACCAAGTCCCCCCATCCTTGTCTCTAAGGAGCCGCTGGCTGAGTCCTTCCTTAAAACACCACCCTCATCATGTCATTCACGTGGCTTCCAAACCCCCACTGAGTCCTTGAGGCTCATTCAAGCTCCTTCACGATCTGAGCCATACATCTACGCCCCTTCTCTTCTGCCTCGTATGAAACGAACTCCTTCGTCCAGCTACACGGCCCTACTGCTGGTTCCCTGCTGCTTCCAGCCTTCGGATTCCTGTGCCCATTCCTTTCCCCCTGTCATTGACCCTGCCTAAAGGACATTTTCCTCCCTCGCTATTTTTTCTCCCCTTCGGAGCTCATGGGAAAGGGCTCGTACAGTCATTCCATAATCACTGGCCCTGGCAGCCTTCTGGAGCCAGCACTGTTTCTTTTCCATGCTATGTGTTTGGCCTCTGTCATAAACCACTGCTCTGGAAGCAGTGGTACCAATCATTCAGCCCACGGTGTTCACTGAGCACTTGCCTAGTGCTATTGATCTGTGCTGTTGAGGAATTGATTCCAATGCAAGGCAACTTCATCTAACTGTGTAAACAAACAAACAAACAAACAAACAAACAAACAAAAAATCCCTACTGCCATCAAGTCAATTCTACCTCATAGCAACCTGATAGGCAGAGCAGAACTCCTCCCAAGGGTATTCCAGGCTATAAATCTTTTTCCCTGGAAGAGGCTAGTGGATTCAAACTGCTGACCTTGTGGTTAGCAGCCCAATGTGTAACTAATCACGACACCAGGGCTTCTTGGGATCAAGGAGAATTGATGTAATCTTTATAGAAACATATCACCACATTTTTATCCTGTGGAGCTACCGGGAGGATTCGAGCTATCAACTTTTTGGTTAGTAGCAGAGTGCTAACCACTGTACCCTACAAGGGCTCTTTCCAGGTCCTGTTCTTGGAACAAATGTTGGATATACCAGTCTGAATCCAGTGTCAGCTCTGCTTTTGTGAATTTAAAGCTGTGTGCCTTTAAGCAAGTTCATTATTCCCTCTGGGTATCAGTTATCCATCCGTAGCATGAGGACAATAATAAGTACCATAACGCTGAGAGAACCCATGTTTGGGTGCTTTGCACAATGCCAGGCAGTGAGTAACAGCGCCATACCTGTGACTAAAATGATTAATCAATGGGTGTCGGTGTCCTGCCTGGTTCCTCCAGGGCAGGGATTAGTTTCTGTGTCACTGTGCTCCCAGAATCCAGCACAGATGCCCAAGTCGAGCCAAGAACCAAGACATGACTAAATGATAATACAAGGGACGCTCCAGTGAGAATCAGTCAATCGAAAACAACCCTAAATGCATTCACAAAATTCAGACACACAGAGACATGAATCTGGTATCAAAAACCATAATTGAATAATCAGATCACTTTAACAATTTTAAACACTACAAGGGCCATTGTAGTAATACAGAACACTTCACTGCCCATAAGAAATTCACCGCTTGTAAGGACTGTACAACTCTTCTTGGCATTAGTGAACTATTGAATTGTATGATATGTGAATTATATCCCAATAAAACTGCTTAGAAAATAAAAGAAATTCACCGCTCAATTTCTTTTTTTTTAAAATAAATCATTTAATTGGGTGTTCTTGAAGCTCTTATAACAATCCATACATCAATTGTATCCAGCACATTTGTATACATGCTGCCATCATGATTTTCAAACATTTTCTTTCTACTTGAGCCGTTGGTGCTCTGCTCAGTTTTTAGCAAATAAAAAGGCAGCAGGGCCCACAGTCCAAACGGCTGCCAGGTCCGACCAGGCTGTCTTTGTCTGATGTGCCCATAAATCAAGCTCTTATCTGCTTACCTGTAATTTCCGCAAGGAGCAGGGATGAGTCCGTGTGAATTGTTCCAAAGTAGCAAGCGGTAGTTGTTCCATTCTTCAGTGTTCTTCTCTAAAAATAAGTTGCAGAAACCATGAATCGTGTGTGCCCAAAGAAGTCACGTGGCATGTAGGGAAAACAGAATTCTCATTTTTCATTTCAAATGTTCTTGTTTTTTTCATTTAAAAGTATGCCATTTCGGTATGGAATACAGCTAAGATAAATGTCAAACATATTTACATTCCTCAAGTGTTAACTAAGGAACTCTAGTCGTGCAGTAGGATAACCTAGCCTGAAGGACTGCTAACCACAAGGTGGGCAGTTCAAGTTCACCAGCCAGTCCTTGCAAGAAAGACGAGGTTATCTGTCCTGGTAAATTGTTGCAGTCTTGGAAATCCTAGGGAGACGTTCTACGCTGATTTATAGGGTCACTATGAGTCAGAATGGGCTCTGACAGTCTGTTTGCTTATTTTTGTTGTTGTTTTCCATGTCAGAGGATAAATTTGATTCCCTAAATTTACACAATTCTGCTCAGAATTCACCTAGTGGAACACCAATTGTTTATTCCTTAGGATCAGTGATTTATACCAAACTACTCCAACTGAAAGAGCCATACCTGGTTGGGGTACCCTGTCTACATTCTGTGTTCAGTCTTCTCCAGCCCTTGTGGCTTATCCCATAGGATCATGGTTTTGAGGTGGTGCTACTCTATCCATGACGCCTTGGATGCTACCTTTATAGAGAAATCTATCTGAAACGCCACCAACCATTTGCTGTCTTTCTCAACCTTGCTCGGTCTCCGATTCTTGTCCACAAGGCTCTGAGACAGTAATTTATGTACTCAGAATAGATTCCCAACTGAAGACGACTACGCATGTCAAGGCCAACAGCAATGGCCTCTTCACACATTGGATCATTGACCCTTCAGTTGCAGTGGGGAGTGCTCGGCTCCTTTCTTTTCACTTTGTATCTGAATGGCCTGACTCCTTCTTGGAACTGGAAGGACTCTTTCTTATTTATCTGCCGAATCATCGATGACCCCACAGCATGCGTGGATTCACTCTACCACAAAGGCGAATATTTATAATTAGTTTGTCATAGAACATCCACAGAAATAGGATCACCCTCTCCTGCCCTCGGATTTTAGCTTACGCAGATTCCTTAACTTCCTAGTTTTTTTAGCTCACTTCAGTTCAATTTGAATCTGCAATCTTCAGGCTAGTTAAAAAAGTATAATGTAGTTAGATATCCATGGGTTAATGTGTTAATTAAAATGAATTGTGCTTATTAAGAAAAGTGAATCTCAGAAGAGGTTTGCCAATATATTCTTGTACTTCAAATAATTTGCCAATTAAATGATCCTGGTAATCACCTATATGGTTGTCACACGCGGAGGGTCTTGATGGTTCATTTGTGGAAGCTGATCTAGGACTTCATTCTGGGGCAGAGAGGAATCACATATCAAAGTCTCTATTCATGTGTACTTCTTTAGTAGCTCTTGGCATATAGACACAGGCAGTCTTTAAGCTCAGGACCAAGTTCTAGCTAACAAACTCAACTGCTTTACAAAGATGTCAACACCAGCCTCAGCTCACCCAACCATTAATTGTGTGGGCCTCCCCCCAATCAGAAACACAGGATAGCTCCACTGCAAATACTTGCAAGGGGTAAAACCTGACCTCATCATTAACATCAAATGTGTAAACAACTACTTAATAAACGTAAGAACATCTCAGACGCTAAGACTTCTTAAAGTAATTTGCATAGTCCTTGATAAGGAGGTTGCATCGCCCGCCCTAGATACTCTCACTCTGAACAGAAAGATTGATAAACTTGGGTTTTATATTCACTGGGCTCTGGTGGCATAAGTGGTTACCCACTGGGCTGTGATCCAGCAGGTTAGCAGTTCAAAACCACCAGCCACTCCTTGGGAGAAAGATGAAGCTTTCTACTTCTGTAAAGAGCTACAGTCTCAGAAACCCACAGGGGCAGTTCTACCCCGTCCTATAGGGTCATGACGAGTCAGCATCAACTCGATGGCAATGGGTGTTGCTTTATTTTTAGAGCCACATTTTGACAGTACAGCATGTAACTACTTCATTGGGATTAATTTTCTTAGATTTCAATTTGACAAATAGATGCACTTCATCTTAAACTACATTGTCTTTTAAATTATATAGGCATTACGAATCTCATAATTAATTGCCCTCTCTGGGACAGCTGCTAAAAACATTAATCCCAACTAATGACAAACTCTAACAAATGCATAGACACCCTCCCACCCAGCCCACCCCATCCTGGCACCTTCGCCCAAACGTACCTTCTTCCTCTTGTTTTTATCTCTGTTCCCTTCCCCTCCTTTTCCCCTTTTGCTGTGATTTCATGACTAATCTTCTTTTGTTGTGTACCATGCAATTTTAAGCAGTCTCGATCCCTTTTTAGAACAATGTGAGGTATAAATAACTGTTGAGACTAAAAAGCCTGGGTGTGGTTAGCACACTTCACGACGAACACCCCGCACCAGCAACTCAGTGCACAGCGTTAGTCCGTCTCAGTTTCCCCGGTGTCGTGTGCATGCATGCTAACTATGCAAGAGCCACAATCGCGCGGCATGTATAATTAAGCAGAGCAGGTGGATAAGTGCTCGCACTTGCATTTACTTTTCAAAGCTTCGATGATGCAAGACCAGGACACTGGCAGAATGGAGAGGCCATTGCATAAGGCCTGTTGGTAAGGTCCCCCCGGCGGAGCCAACACCTTAGGAGAAAAGTCCGGAATGGGAACAACAAACACCTAAAGGGCGCTGGATGAGAGGACTCGGCAGTGGTCAGATTAAAATCTATTTTCTGCCCTTCACTTCTCCGCCATAGAAGCTGTTTTGAGTTGCTGAGTGGATTGGAAGCGAATTTCAGAGGACTGAAGAGAGTTGATTTTCTCAAAGAATTTTCTTGAGAGGCAGGGCATTGAGTTCAAATCACCTTCAAAATATAGTTGGCGCGCACTCTATAGCCGCTGTTCAATGAGCAAACTCGCTCTATAGCCCCCTCTAGTGGGACGTGCGTTCAAGTCACCGTCCCACGTGCCCTGCCTCACGGTATGGGACCATTCTGCTTTCTCTCCTTTGGGAAGTTACCAAAAATAGTGTGGGTTCTTCCACTAACAATTTGACAATTCAGAATTTTTAATTTATTTGAGTTTTTTTTAAAGACAACAACACGTTGAGCACTGACTCGGTGACAAGCCCTGTTCTGACCCGTGGTGAGTTCCTCTCATAGCAACCTACCACGTCACACACCTTCTGGAGGCAATTCCAACTCCAATGCCATTTGAAGACAGTGAGTCACAGAATTTTCCAGAAGCCCTGGAGCAATTCAATACAGGACTGCCGAGCAGCACTGGGGATGAGCACCTATGCGAAGCTCAGACTCACTGCCATCCAATTGGTACTAACTCATAGCAAACCACAGGGCAGAGTAGAACTGCCCCTGTGCATTTCTGAGGCTACAAATCTTTACTGGAGCTGAGAGCCTCATCTTTCTCCTGAGGAGCAGCTGGTGGTTTCAAACTGATGACCCAGCAGCCCACATCCTAACCCACTATGCCAACCACATGTATTCAATCTGAAGTTGGTGAAGCAATGTGGGTTATGCATGGAGTTATTAACCACAAGGTCAGTAATTTGAATTCATCAGTCCCTCCACAGGGGACAGATGAGGTTTTCGGCTCCAGGAAAGATTTACAGCCTTCGAAATCCAAAGGAGCAATTCTACTCTGTCCAACACGGTCACTGTGAGTGGCAAACGGACTCCGTGGCAGTACAGTTGGTTTTCTTTTGGGGGAGGCGGTAGGAGCCCATCAGACTAGGGGTTTAGCAGCTTGGATCCAAGTTCTCTGTCCCAGCTGCCTGTTCTGTGTGTGAGGTAGTGAGAACTTAGCTGGCTGTAAAGGGCAAAACACCCCTAACATCCCTACGGCTTTATCTGTGTTAGCTATAGTTTATCATTTAAAATGACTGGAGACATAGTAGCTGTTTGGACAGATCACTGAACGTGATATACCGAGCTTCACAAACAGGCTACTTACAACAACTCGGGTGTAGACTTCTTCAGCAAAGTCAATGTTCTGGAACTTGAGTTCTGTAGGAAATGTGTACTTGGTCAGCCATTCCAAAAGAGGCAAGTCTACGTTACTTCCAGCAAATGAATACTGAGGCGCGTGAATGTGTGTATCGACCAGCCCAGGCATGAAGAATTCACTGGAAATCAAGATGAGAGGAAAAGACTTTAATCACATCTTTAGTCATATGCCGAATCTCTACATCACATTTTCTCTTGGTTTACGGCACACCAGGTTAGAGCAGAGCCCTCAAGCAACTGGAAATGCTCCCATTCTTTTCTGGTCATTTGTTGCTGGTGAGTCGGCCCCAGCTCCGGGGGCCCATGAACACCGCTTGGTCCTGAGAACCCCCCTGGTCAGTGGCATTTCAGACAGTGTTCCATTGGGTTTTCATTGACTGACTTTTAGAGGTAGATTGCTTAAAAAACACAAGGCATAAAGCAAGCAACGTCCATTTGTTTTTATCTAAAATGTAAACATTTTGTTCAGCATGGATTTTTTTTTCATTCTTTTTTGATCATTTTTTACATTAAATACTTTTATTGGGGCTTTTACATCTCTTATCTCAATCCATACATTCATCCATTGTGTCAGGCACATTTGTACGTATGTTGCCATCATCATTCTCAAAATGTTGTCTTTCTACTTGAGCCCTTGGTATTAGCTCTTCATTTTCCCCCTTCCCTCCTCCCTCCCTCCCTCCCTTCCTCCCTCTCTCCCTCATATCTTCCATCATCCTCTGCCACCCTTCACCCACTTTTCTATTGTTCATCACCCTGGGAGGGGGTTATATGTTGATCCTTGTGATCGATTC